TGCCCGTGTGACAGGCAGCCCGCCATCACTGTTTGTCATCTTCCACCTCGGGATCACCCAGGCTTGAGGAAAAGCCATGTTTACAGGCAGGCCCTGCAGGATTCACACCCAAATCCGCCTCCCAGAGGAGCCTCAGGGTCTTCCGTTAACCTCTGGGCTCCAGTCGGTGCTCTCTGGTCTCCTCCATGTCCATCAGGACATTTCTGTGCACAGTGCCTCCCCTCAGGGGCTGTCTCACTATGTAGCCCAGGCTGGCTTCAAAATCTGAGATCCTCCTGCCTCAGCCTGCCGAGTGTTGGGATTACAGCAGTGCATTCTTTCTGGATTGGCTGAAAGAAACCGGAAGTGGATGAGTTCTTCCTCTTGCCGGTTAAATTGGGTCGGGCTGGGTCCCCCTCTCCGGCCCGCCGCCACAGCCACCTCCGGGCACAGGAAGGAGCTGACCCTTAAGCAATGACCCTGGTCCCAGATTGCAGACCGGACGGCCCCTGCCCAGGGCTCTGCATTCGAGTCCTCTGCTAGGAGAGAGTTGAGGGCTTGGGTTTAATTTGCCCGTTAATCACAGTTAAAAGAAGTAATGAGCGGCCCCCGAAGCGGGTGTTTCTGTGCAGATTAAGCAGCAATTTGCATAGCCCTCTTCATCCGCGCCTCCCCGCGGGGCGGCTCATCCTTTCAGACACAGCCGAGCGCAGCCGGAGGCGGGAGCCGCTTGACAAATGGCTTTGCCTGGCGCCGCGGTTTGGGTGACAGCCGGGAGGGACAGGGCAGCTCCCGACAGTAATGGATAGCGGGGCGTTAAATAGCGCAGAACTTTTTATTAGACGCGCAGGAGAAGTTTAAATATTCAAGCTGGTTCTCTTTGGAGCCGGGAGGGCGGCCGGCTGGCGAGGGCGGAGTCTCCCAGGACAGGTTGGCCCAGCCCTGCTCATCCGGGTGGAGAAAGGGGCGGTGGCGGCGCAGGCGTTCGGTACCCTGGGCCAGGCCCGAGCTCTCGTGGCAAACCTGGGTCGAGGGAGCAACGAGATGCCCAGGAGGACGGAGCCACAGCTCTGTCGCAGAAGCCCTGGCATCCTGACAGGGAAAGAGGACGAGAGACAGGCCTAGGGTTCCTCAGGGGAAGCGCTTGCCCTGCACAACTGGTACAGGGGTTTGGGTCTAACCATCGATCCATTTAAAAAGCTGACTTAGCAAGTGCAAGGGCCCGAGTTCGATCCCAGGTACAAAACAAAACTGATTAACCAGCTGTGCATGCATGTAATTGCAGCACTATGGGAGGCTGAGGCAGGAGGATCGCAAATTTGATCCCAGCCTGGGCAGTTTAGCCCTTTAGTGATCATTAAAACACCTGAAGTTGCTGGGCGTGGTGGCACATGCCTGTCATCCCAGCACTCGGGAGGCTGTGGCAGGAGGTTCTCTGTGAGTTTGAGACCAGCCTGGGCTACATAGTGAGTTCCAGGGCAGTCTGAACTACATAGTGAGACCCTGTCTCAAAAAAAAAAAAAAAAAAAAAAAAAAAAAAAAAA